AGATTCAAAGGGTGATAATTTTGTAATTTTTCTTCGATGTTGTTTAAATTTCAAATGTGAATTTTGCATAAAGTGCGTTTTACTGGGTTTGAAATTTTCTTTTAAATTTAGCGCGTTTGCGAAATTCTGCAATTCTGATTTAGGAATTTACAGTAGAATTGTGAGGAGTTTGAAATGAACTTGTGTCTTACTATTGTACAAATTTGGAAATTCTATTTTATAATATTTCACGTTTTTTTAAAGTCTGCAAGGCTTTCAGAATCTATGAAATAATTTCAAAAGCAAACTTTTGTACTTTTCCCTTAAACTTCACATTGTCCAATTTTCCATCCATTCAAATTTCCAAAACAAATTTCTCGAAAGTCACATAAACCAAATTTTTAGAAGAATTCTCACCATCTTCGTAAACTCTGCAGGACTTGCAGAATCTCTGAAATCACTGCTCAATTTTTCATCCATCCGATACTCATTTAGATTCAAAACAAAATTCCCAAAAGTCACATAAACGAAATTTTCACATTGTACCACAAAACTGGTAAATTTCCAAATTTCCAAATTCTGTATCCTCTTTGAAAGTCCACAATGCAACGTGTTTGGACGATTCCGGCGTGAAACTCGTCCCTCTAAATTCAACCTGTTCAATAACCACACCCATACAGACCTGGAAACCGCCTCTCAACGCCCGAGAAGTCGCAATTGGATCGAATGTTGAGGGAGGTCGCGTTTTCTCGTGGCACGCGCGACCGCTCGTTAATCCACATAACCTCTTATCGTTGGATAGCGTTAATTCGAAGCGCGCACAACCGTGTATCGATGTATCCGCGAGGGGTGGCCATTAGGCGCGTGTAATTGCCGCAGAAATCCAAGTAAAGCTCGCCGGTTACTTCGCATGCGGAATACTTAATGCCGTATGTTAATACCGTCGCATGCACCGCCACCATTTTGATCCTGACCAGAGATAGACCGGCAATTTTTAACGATTAATACGCTGCACAGGCATCCAGCCGACTCGTATCACCGTGAATGCTCGTTACGCAGACCTGCCTCCTTATTCCCGCTATTTTCAATAAATATCCCCGTTGCTCTTTGTGAATTGTATCTCTTGTAATGTTAATGTAACGCCAGAGACGTTCGAACACGACAGATCAATCGCACAGGATTTTTCTGTTTTATTTCTGGATTTTTTAGCAAGCTTTCCTGAGTAAATCCTTATAAAGAAATAAGTAAAAATTGTAGAATAAAGGTTTCTTATTGCTTACCTATATAGTATCCGAGGAAAATCAGTTTTAATGTAAAATTACTATCCATTGATTACGGTGTATAAGACACATCTTGCGTGTGATTGAAACAGAGACATAGTGTTTAAATCAGTAAATTTTGTGAATTATAGTAGTGAATGAGGTTTGTAGAGCGATAGGTCCGAATGGAAAGTGTTCAAAGGATCGAGTGATATTTGCAGACAACCATAGTTACATAGATTTAATCAATCATTTAATAAATAATTTCGTAAACAAATTTTTAAACGATACCTAAAGAAGTTCCTGAAATTTTTCTATCGAGTGTACGCTTGGATTTAGGTATTAGGTATCTGAACACTCGAGTCGCTCAGAAACCAGTGATTAACTCCACTGCTTTCAATTATTTCAATTTTGGTAGATACAGAAACACACGATTGTCGCTGAACTTCTTATAAATAATACACGATTTTGCGATAAATTTTTTCTATCGTTAATTAACGATCGACGATTTTATTTTCCACGAAAGAAACACCGGAGAAAATTTCTCGGCAAGATATCAAACTTTTCACCGATGGAACAATAATTAGGAAACACCGATTCGTACCGCGGAAAATCTTTCTTCTCAAGTATCCACTGTCTATCAAAGAAACGATACGAAGCAGGAGATATTTTCGATTGTTTGTTCAGTTTACTGTAGATTTTTCCAACGCGGGCCAGTTTCTATCGTATTCACTTCCCGATAAAATTCACCGAGGCTCTTCGCAGTATCTGGTGAATTCCGAGCGAAGATTCCTGTCGAGATGCTTATCGATGATTCATAATACGAGGATTATAGTGTTGTTCGAAGGTACGCATTTGTAGTTTGCATGCTAATTACCAACCACGATGTAACGAGAAAGTTTTCCTTCCTCCCTTGCCAGTTGAGACCGATCTGTTTCGTTCAATTCGCCTCTGCATTCCTTTTTACCGAAGCTCTTCGCTTTCTTTCGTAAATAATCGATACACATTATCGCTTCGTTAATAAATATTCATTAATAACATACGGTAATGTTAACGAGGCGTTGAAATTCTCTGATAAGAGGAACTTCAAAGAGGCGACAAATAGGAGAAGAAAAGAGGTAATATTATTCTTCATTTTGCAATTTCTCTTTTCGAATGCTTTCTTTATTCCCTCGAATACGACGCGTAAAGGGGGAATAAAAATGTTTATTTCATTTACGACGTATTCTTGAATAAGTTGGACCAATAAGTAAGAAGCACAATGGTGTAACTGTGCGTGACGAGTCTCGATTTCCCGTTCTACCATAAATTACTGTGTAATGATGTTATTTGATTGCTTGATAATAAATGCCGTGTTATTTGGTTCGGCTTAATTTCATTCCCGTGTAATTTCCTTTCGTGAAAAGTGGAAAGAATCTTTCTTAACCTTTGAACGCTGATGTATTAATACAGTGCCACGAGAACATTTTTCTTTCACTTTTCTTTGTACATTTTCGCTGCAGATGTATCGTTACATTCAATAAACGTATATTTACGAATTTTTAAAAAATTTTAAATAAATTTTCACAATTTTAATTTCAATAATTCAACAAGTATATATTTATTCACTTATTTTCCACTTAAAATAAACAATTCTTGGAATTTTTATAGTTTCGATATTAGTAAAGTTGGTAAAAGGATGCAAATATTATTTTTGCTGTATGGAGTACCGTATGAAAAATGAATATTAGTATTCCAGAGTTAAGAAGAATCGTTCGAATTTCACGCTCAAGTAAATTCCAAGATGTAATTTCGAGTGTTCGATTAAAATACGAAGTAATTAGAATGAGGACGTAAGAAATA